TAAACACTTGGATATTCAATTGAAATTTAAGAAAACAAAAGATAAACACTATAAGAAAGAAGATGCACAAAAGAAATGATATATCCACAACAAACCAGTTCATATACAAGACATCCTTAACTTTTACATAAATTACTATCTTAAACTACATAAAGAAATAACACAAATAAACCACTTACATGTAACACTTACAGAAACTAGAAAACAACTTCCACTCGTCTGGACAATAGTTGGGCAGAGAGTCCCAATTACAATCACACATCAAACACTCATATACTTACTTTTAGAAGTATAGTCTAGGTGGATAGATACATCACCAGATATACAACATAGGGATAAAATAAGAGATATAAGGTTGCCGAGATGAGGTTGTCGAGATGAGGTACAAAGCTGAGGTGTAGAGATGAGGTACAAAGATGAGGTGCAGAGATGAGGTGCAAGAAGGCTGTAGAGATGCAAGAAGGTTGCAGAGATGGAAGAAGGTTACAGAGATGGAGGATTGAGGGGGAAAAACTCGCGGTGTTCCTTAATGAGCTCCTACCCCCGTTTTATAGTTGGCAGACACCAAAGATTTATTTCAAGTTCGCTGACTTACAAGACCCCAAAGGTGTCGTTGATGAGATAGAAAGTGTGAGCAGGGAAAAGTAAAGGGTGACGAGACAAAAAGGTGTCGTTGATATGACAAAAGGTATGAACAGTGAACAATAAAAGGTGATGAGACAAAAAGGTGTCGGTAATATGACAAAAGGTATGAACAGTGAAAAGTAAAAGGTGTTGAGACAAAAAGATGTCGGTAACTTTTTACTATTTGTTTTTCAGGACTCGTGTGCTTTTGGTTTGCAGTCGCTCCGTCCTTAGTATAGCCCGAATCTTTATCATCTTTGAGATAGGCTGAACTCGATGTCTTCATTTTCTTGTGCATAATCTTCTTCGTTTTGTGTAGATGTAGACATAGCCTCCTCTTCTTCATCGAAGATTTGTAACAATTTCTTTTTAAGTTCTTCTTTTGTGGCCGTAGGGTTCTGCTGGCGCATCTTATTTATATAATCGGTCATATTAATTCCTGCTTCCGAGGGTGAGAATGACACCTTCTTCATTTTTATATTTTCTGGATCAAGGGATTTATTTTCATAGACATCCCACCACTTTATATACACTTGCCTGCCCAATTCTGGGATGTATTCTCAATTATTTGTATAATCATCTGATATATGGTAGGA